TATCTTGAGTACTGTGTGGGCGCATGTCGCCAGTTGCTGTACCGCTGTTTGCAGGCATGACAAAGTTACAGGAAGACGAGTTTGATTTTATGATTCAGTAGATGAAATAATAGAATTGTGTACATCACTCATCAAGTAATTGGAGTTACCACAAGCGAATGCCTTCGAGTCTCCGGCGGTAATAGTTGGCTACACCTCGAGTCTCCGGTGGTGATACCAAGAGAGAGAGAGAGAGAGAGAGAGAGAGAGAGAGGCGCCTTTCTTTCTAGCCTCCCATTGGCTGTCTCCTCCAGCCATGGCTATTGTAAATCAGGTACCTCAGCAGTGATGAATTGAACAGTTGTGCTCGAACGAAAGAGATTGCATTTGTCAGCAAGTCATGAACATGGCGGACTTTAGAGGAGTTTGTGTCATGCGGTGGCTCCAGAGTATAATGAATTATCAATTTATCATTTGACTTCAGAGTTTTCTGGATTGTGCTTTTTGTGCTTGCTCTCATTTGTTGTTGTGTGGCGAATCTGGTGATGGCTTTCCCTTGTCCACAGTGATGGATTCTCGTTTCCAGATCTGAACTTCAAGTTTGGTAGCGCTAACCTCACTGTGTCTGGTGAGCACTATATGTTCACAACAACAGGTCCAAATGTAAGTTTATTCTCTCTTCTAATGCCAGGTTCTTGTACTTCTCATGCTGTCACACACAGATACTGTCCCTGTGTTGTTAAGATGGTCCTCATGATGATGTGATTGTGATGATGATGGTGTTATGCTGCGGATGATGATGTCGATAGTCGAAAAGAAAAAGTGATGATGGCAACAATGACAGAAATGTCAAATCTGGACAGAATAATGGCATAATCTCGGTTGTTGAGAAGATGATGATTGCTATAATGATCTTGTGCTCTTGATGGAACGTGATAGCTCCATGTTTACAGCAGTAGTAGAAAATGATTATGGAAATGATGTTTTTATCATCTCTATGTTCTCAAATATATAACGGCCTGAGAATGATTGTCGTGACGATAGCTAGTTATTAGTACACGTTGCCACATTTTGCAGGTTGCTGCAGTCACGTGCGGCTGATGTGATTTGAACTATTTGGACATTACTCTGTTCTTCAGTCTGGTGCACTCCCTCTCTGTGCCCCAGACTTACCACGGCAAATGACTTGGTCGGTATGTGAATGAACCTCTCTTACAGATGGATAGCCCATTGAGCTCTGTCTGTTACCCTACCCTAGTGTGCATTCCTACCCTAGCCTAGCCTAGCCTAGCCTACCCTTCCCTCCGCTACCCTACGCCATGGTATACAGTATATAAGTATATACCCTAGGATATATATATGCTCTGGGGTAGGGTACATATACCCTACCCTAGGGTAGGGGATATACTATATATCCTAGGGTAGGGCACATATACCCTACCCTAGAGTAGGGTATATAGCCTTGGGTAGAGTACATATACCCTATAGTAGGGCATATATAAGTGTAGCTATTGAGCCTGTTAGATTGCTATTCCGTAGATTTGATCTGTAGGAAGTTGGTAGTGACACAGGAAAAGGGGGCAGGCAAACTAGTGTCCTTATTTCTCGAAGAGGACTTTGATGATGCCCATTCTAACAGTGTGTGCTGAAACATGCCTTCAATGATGAACAATCCTGCTTGCTGTGCCAAGCAAGGGTGGTGGTGATGCTCATTCTCCACTCCTGAATATTGTTGTTTCCTCAGCTTTTCTGGTCATTGTTTTGGCTTTCTGGTGGTTATTATCGTTTTCTGGTTTCGCATGTGGTCGAACAACGCATCTCATGCCCATCCTCTAGTGGTGATTAATGTTGCTCTCTCTCATTCTGTTTCCTTTTCTTTTCGTTTTCAAGTTCCTGAAAAAGAACAACATTCATAAATCGCCAGATCGACTTCCCTCACGTCACTGCATTTTCCAATCTCCTAAGCGAATATCAGGTAGAGGTCAAGCTGTTAACAAACATAGATGCCTCAAAGGAACCAGTTCTCATAATATGCTTTGCTGTGCCTTTCTGTTTATTTTCCCTCCCCCCCCCTCTCCAACAAAACCTTAACAGGGTACAGGTTGTGCAAAATGTCTTGGAATCTTTGGGTGGTCTCAGAATGTTTCATCGATAGGCGGTGAGTGAACTGTGGGCTATGGATCTCTCCTCTCTTTCGGACTCCTCGGAGAATCATGCCGAGGGTTTAATAAGGTTTGAAAAGAATGAGACATTGGGAAGTCATTCGTTGGACTCTTTTTAGAGGCACGGTGAAGGGGGAGTTGAAAGAAGAACGACAAAAATGAATGGTTACAGTGTGATCTTCATGTTTGTCTTGTGTGTGTGCATTTTCTTTTTGTTTTTTAGCGGTTTGTTTCATCAAGTGCGCTCTTTTAGCTCACAGACATGTGATAATAAATTGCGGGCTTGGAGCTAGGTGCTTTGTCCAGTCGTTTGGATGTTTGTTGGACTGCCCTTTATTTGCTCTTGTGCTTCTATGATTGGGCTGTTTGCTCGTGTACCTGAGAACTGAGATGCAGCTTGGTCTGATGTGAGTTCTGCACGAAAGGTGCAATTATGCGCTGCACCTAGCACTTGGCTAGAAAACTCGAAGAGGCATTGGAGCAATCCTTCTGCGAAAATGTATGTTTTTTATGCCGTGGCTCTACCGTCTTCCCCCGAACACAGCTCACCCTCATTTTGGCTGTATCCGGCCGGAAATATAACTTGTATACATTTGTTTTTAGGGTGCGTTATGTTCGGGGGAAGACGGTAGTCAACCCGAAGGCTTTGAGAAGTTTGCTGCAAACGTTTTGGCAATTTCTTTGTCCTCTTTTCTTCTTTTTTTGACAAACAACAGCTCGGGCAGCTATTCGGGGTGATACGAGTATTCCTCAATAGCAACCATCTGCCGTCGGGTCTAATCTATTGGTGGGGAGCATCACCTCCTGGAAACCGAGTCCAGTGTACGCAATCAAACAAATTTTATGCGCGCAATAGCTGTACTACAAGTCGAGGTGGTAGAGCAAGAGAAGGCAAAGTACAGACAAATTGACAGCCATCATTTTCTTCATTGAAGTTAAAGTCTTCTGCAGGTAGAAAATGGTGATGCTTGGTTTCTTTCTGAAAAGCTGGTGGTATAGTTTGTATAGGTTTTGTATGCGATGGTTCATTGCATGTGTCATGAGCTTGGAAACAGGAATTCATAGTCGGCTGTTGGTGAGGTGTGCACCTCCTGCCTGATCTCATTGGATTGAGCATTTGAGATCAATCTAGATTCCCAGCAGCTTGGTTGTCTGTTTTTGGCGATCGCTGTGGGAATGGACTTTTGGCGCTTGTCATGATGCCTGATGCCTTGCCAGGTCAAGACAAGCCGGCATAGGCCTGACTTCATGTGGACCATATCCATCCGATATGCAGTGTCCTGTGTGATTCTCTCTCGAGAGAGCTATCGTTGGACTGTTTTGGGTTGGTGGGGCAAAGTTATGAAATACGTACCTTCCGACACGACGAGCAATCATACCATGGCGAAGTCCCACTCACTGATGTATGATCCTTCGTAGGTGGATTCACGTACGACATCACACCACCATGCAGACATGGTGTATTGAATCAATTCCTAAACCTAATCTGAGGCACAGCGTACCTCCTGTATAAGAATGCATGTACATAACACCACCAATTGTACTTGCCAAAGTTCTCCGTGTACCAATAATAAGACATGGATTACATGAGAGAGAGAGAGAGAGAGAGAGAGAGGAGGGGTGGGGGGAGAGACATGGAAGAGAGAGAGAGAGAGAGAGAGAGAGAGAGAGAGAGAGAGAGAGAGAGAGAG